AACTTTCCTGTTACACAGGGTGACAAGTTTGTCCTTTACACAGTAGCATCACTTTATTATCTTAATTTTCAAGGACTCAAGCATTGACAGGTGTGCTGAATTAAAGTATTAATATCATTAGGAATGCTTTAAAACCCCTAGAAGCTTTTCCCCACAAAACCCCAAGCAGATGCCTGTACAAAACTTAAGCAAATTGAGATTTTTTATGATTCTTGCAGAGTTGCTCTAAGGAGAAGAAAGCCCTAAAGGGCCAGGGAATGCCTGACTAGTGGACAAAGGGAAGAAAGCTCTAAAGGTGCTAAGTGCCAGCTGAGAAAGGGGACGTGCCAATGATTTTTTTAGAACTAACTGTAATAATATTGACCACCCATCTCTGGAAGGAATGTATAAAAAACCATGAAGTTTTGTCCCTGGTTGCACAAGTTTGGTGGAAAGATCCCCCTTGTGCCCAGCGCTGAATGAACAGATACCTGCTACTCAGAGATACAAGTCTGGGAGGAGTTCTTTTCCAGCCTTTTCTCAGCATCACTTATTTGGAATTGGAAGCTGCTACGACACACAGCCAAGCACTAAAAGCCGGCGCTGAATAAACAAATACCTGCCACTCAAAGATACAATACAAGTCTTAGTTTCTTTTACAGCTTTTCTCAGCATCAGCTCAGAATCTCTCATTTTAGCAGTAGTGACTAAGAAAGTCCTGGCTATACTAGACTCTGTGTCTTAGGTGGCTTGATCTCATCTGTTGTTTCAACATACACAGAATGCAGCATATCCTCCCCAAATGAACAGCTTTATTTTGAGCAAGAAATGGATTCTTGGAATTTACAAATGAAATCTATTAACACAATGCAATTCAATTGAAGTAAAACCTGTTTAGTGGCTGTGTCCATTAAGTTAGGAGAGAGATGAGTAACATGCTTGGACCAAAGTACCTTGTGGTGCTGAGAATGGTTACCATGCAGTCACTCCCAGTAGACACTCAAGTGGTGCCCAGTAAATGCTGCAGCAGCTTGTGACGAGTCTTAAAAGTGTCGGGCAGTTTTAGCAACATGAGTAACATGGGCATCCCTCTCCCCTTTTTTAAAATCTCTAAATTCACACTCAGCAGTCCCTACAGGCTACCCTCTTGGTTCTCCTGGGTCAATAGGAGCTGGAGCAGGACTACAGGGGTTGGACTCGATGATCTTTGAGGTCTTTTCCAACCCGGTTGATTCTATGATTCTATGATACAGGGGAAGTCCAAAAGCACAGAGATGCAGTACCAGTCTCTATCATCATCAACACATCCTTCCCTGGTAGCACTAGTCTCACTAGCAGCTTTTCCAAACCGACAGTGGTTACGGATGAGCAGCCAGATTTGTACCTACAACTTTGCACGGATCTTGTAAGGCAGAGATGGGTTAAGTTCTCCCTTTCACAATATTGCACTGCTCTGTTGTATTAGTGAACAGGCACTTGATTATGAAACAGAAAAAAAAATTCCCAAACACACACGCACACACGCACACACATATCCCCCACTTAAAATACACACAAAATTGTTGCATTTCATCATGACAGAAAATACATATCTTCAAGTCATTATTTTCTCTGGGTTTCTGGGTTGATAGTGATATATGTTAAAAGAGCATGACAAGTCCAGGACCATCAGAGTTAAGGTTCCACTTGCATCAAAACATGATAAAAGGAAGTTCACAGCTTAAAGTACCTAAAACATGACCAAAAGTCTGCCCTGGAATAATGCCATTTGTTAGCAGAGAAAGTTTGGGAGGAAAAAGTTCTGCATCCTTTGCGAAAAGTTTCAGCTCACCTTGGACCATACTTCCATAAATTGTTTGTGTACTGCTCAAGGGGCAGAGTTAAGGTTATTTGCACATTTTAACCAGTTTAGTGATACAATGTGCTCCTGTTCTTGAGAGGCTTTAATTAATTTGGCATAGAACAACGTACTAGTAGCTGCTCTTACCCAGCACTTTTCACCCAAACCTCTCCAAAGTAATTTGTACAGGAGGTAATGGTTCTTAACTTTACAAAATACACTGGGGAAAGGTGAACTTATTTGTCAATGGCGCTCGGATGTGTGGCAGAGCTGAAACAGGGAACAGGTTGCCTGAATGTCAGTTCACAAAATGCTC